ACAGCGCCTAAGGTCTAAGCCCGGGCTACCTGGTCGCTGGCAAGCGCGCCCTGCAGCGGGGACAGTGAGGACAAGAACAGCACAAATCCAGGACTTGCCCGGTGGTCCAGTGGTTAAGACTCTACGCTTCCAGTGCAGAGGGCGCAGGTTTGATCCCTGGCCAGGGAGCTAAGATCCTGCATGGCTCACTGTGTGGCCAAAAATAAAATAAGCATAGGGTAAATTCCACTGGGACATGGAGCTGCACAAGCTCTCATGGCAGGCGTTGGCCAGATGTCAAGTAAATGGTAACTTGCGCTGTGTCCCCCCAGTGCTGTTCCTGCCCCCGGATCCTAAACCCACGACCCAGCACCCCGAAGGCCTTGCTCTTACAAGGATAAGAGGCCCCAGGTGTCAAAGAACAAGGCGATCCCAAGGGAAGATAACATTTTTTAGAATTTATAAAACAGCAACATGAGGAAAGCATAAGTGCAGGCGGGCTGGTGGGGAGGTGCCCGTCAGCGGGGTGAGCGTGGGGTGGGGCACGCAGCCAACCATCAGGGCTGCCATAGCCACGCCCAGCCCAGGGCGGCTCCCAGGGCCCCCACCGGGGGCGTACTTCCTGGCCCCCCAGCAGGCCCCCTCTCCGAGGGGGTGGGACCCCTGGAGGAGAAGGGCAGCCTGTCATCAGGAGCTCAGACTGACCAACCAGCAACGTATGGGGTTGCCCACATCCCGTGAGTTCATTCCATGCAGGTTGGGGCAACCACAGCTGGGCCCAGAATTCAGGGCTTGAATGCAGGCACATTAAGGTCATCTGTCATCCAGACAGGGTACACAGAGTGAAAAGGGGATGTGGGCATGAGCACGGGAGGGCTCCCAGGGGTTCCTGTGCTGAAACGCCCCCGGTGCCTAACTTTGATCCTCAAAACAGAATTACCAATTCTGCAGGTAAATCTCCACCACTCAATAGGTGAGTAATCCAGACAGCCCTGGAGTGAAGCACCCCGGGTCACCAGGTGGTGGGGGGTCTGTGTCACACCCCTCGGTCTGGGCCAGGGCTGTCCCCACCCGTCCTCCGCACGCCCTCCTGCCGGGATTCCCCAGAGCCGGCGTCTCGCCCTCCTGATGCACTGCCTGACGCCACCCTCCACCCAGGGCTCCTACACAACAGGGTCTTGGTTGCTGGCCAGCAGGAAGCATCCAGCCCCAGACCCCAACCTGTCCCCTGCTCTGGGACCACTCCCACCCAGTTTCCCCGGGAGTGTAGGGAACTGATTAGAGTCAACACTTCTGGACGGAAGGGAAAGGACTGGGCCCGGGGGCACCAGAGGACTGCTCTGCAGGAGGACTGCCCCCAGGTCGGCCCATGTGGGGCCAAGAAGCCGGGTGTTTACACCCCCACCACTCTTGTTCCCCGGATCTGGATCCGGGCTCCCTGGGAAGGGTGTGAGCCTGGCTGTCTGCCAGGGGGGCAGACCACAGAGCTGACACCTGAGCAGCCTGGTGACCTCGCTCCCCGCATCCGCGCAGCTGGCTCCTCTGAAAGAGGTCAAGCCGTTGAACAGGCCTTGACTCAACAAACAGCGCCTGAGAAACCGTTGCAGGCACTGCAGATACACAGAGCCGAGACAAAGCCTGTCTCTCGGGAAGGGTGAGTCTGTGACGTAACAGATGCAAGCTTAGAGCCGCGCTCTCCCACGGTCGACGGTCACGGATCCACTTGACGGTGTGAAGAGTAAAGGATTCAGGCTCCAAGTAGCATGGGCTTGACAGTTATCTTCCTAAACAACTTTCCTGATTTATAACCCCCACATCTACAGTCTAAATTAAAAGTCACGAAATTAAAAGACACTTGCTCCTTGGAAGAAAAGCTATGACAAACATAGACAGTATATTAAAGCAGAGACATTATTTTGTCAACAAAGGTCCATCTAGTCAAAGCTATGGTTTTTCCAGTGGTCATGTATGGATGTGAGAGTTGGACCATAAAGAAAGCCGAGTGCCGAAGGATTGATGCTTTTGACCTGTGCTATGGGAGAAGACTCTTGAGAGTCCCTTAGACAGCAAGGAGATCCAACCAGTCAATCCTAAAGGAAATCAGTCCTGAATATTCATTGGAAGGACTGATGCTGAAGCTGAAGCTCCAATTTTGGGGCCACCTGATGCGAAGAGCTGACTCATTGGAAAAGACCCTGATGCTGGGCAAGATTGAGGACAGGAGGAAAAGGGGGCGACAGAGCATGAGATGGTTGGATGGCATCACCGACTCAATGGACACGAGTTTGAGTAAACTCTGGGAGATAGTGAAGGACAGGGAAGCCTGGTGTGCTGCAGTCCATGAGGTCACAAAGAGTCAAACACGACTGAGTGAATTAACAACGACACCTTCAGTCACCCACTTAATGTATACAATTCAGTGGTTTTTAATCTATTCATAGAATTGTGCAGCCCCTCCCACAGTCATGTTTAGAACAGTTTCATCAGCCCTGGAAGAAGCTCCACACAGATAAGCAGTCACTCCCCATTTTCCCCAACCACCCACTGCCTGCGTGCTCAGTCACTCAGCCATGTCCAGCTCTTGGCGACCCCCTGGACTGTGACCCACAAGGCTCCTCTGTCTGTGGGATTCTCCAGGCAAGAATGCTGGAGTGGGTTGCCATGCCCTCCTCTACGGGACCCTCCTGACCCAGGCGTCGCACCCACGTCTGTTGTTCTCCTGCCTTGGCGGGCAGGTTCTTTACCCCTGCGTCACCTGGGAAGCCCTAGGCCCCAGCAGCCTGCCTCCACGTCCTGTCTCCTTGCATTTCCTGTTCTGGGTATTTCTTATCAATGGAATCACATAACAGGTGGCCCTATGTGACTGGCTCCTCTCATTTTGCTTAATGATTTTAAGGTTCCTCCACATCATAGTATGGGCTGGTACCCTACTTTTATGGCTGAGTAATGTTTTGTTTTATGGACAGACCATGTTTCATTTATCCATTTGTCAACCGAAGGACTTTTCCCTCATATGAATGAAGCATCTGTGAGTGTCCCTGCACAAGGTTGTGTGAGCTCTCTTGCCTGAGAGTAACATTGCCGGGTCATGTAATCGTAGGAGCTTTACCGTTTTGAGGAACTGCTAGACTGGCTGCACCCATTTCAGATACATCCCCCAGCACTGCATGAGGGCTCCAGTTTCTCCGTGTCCTAGCCAAGTACTTGCTGTCTGTCTTTTGCTCTCTTTTTTGGCTACCCCATGTGGAATCTTAGTTCCCCAACCAGGAATTTTTTTGTTTAATATTTATTTATTTGGCTGAGCCAAGTCTTGGTTGCAGCATTGGGATTTCTTGTTGTGACATGTGAACTCTTAGTTGTGGCATGTGGGGTCTAGTTCCCTGACCAGGGATTGAACCCAGGCCTCCTGCGCGGGCACAGTGGAGCGTTAGCCACTGGACCGCCAGGGAAGCCCCTGTGCTTTTGATCATAGCTGTCCTGGTGGGTGTGAAGGTGTGGCTTTGATTTGCATTTCCCTACCTGCTGATGATGTTGGCATCTTTTCTTTTTTTTTTTCTTCTTTTTTTTTTTTTGTATGTTGGCATCTTTTCATGCCTTAAAAATTTTGGCTCAGAAGTAAAATGATCCAGTGTAGGGGTTTTCAAAGTTGCTTGAGGCTTAAAACTGTTAGATGAGCGCTTACCAGAAAGTAAAACACAAAATGAAGAGTCGGAGAGCTGGGGTCAGGGTGGTTTACAAGGTGAGACGGGAGCAGGGCTTAAGCCGCCCTGCTGGGTATATACCCAGAGCCCCCGCCACCACCAGAATCACCCCAAAACAACTGCAACTCTGTCAGCCACTGACCAGGCAACATCACCAGATGACTGAGAAGACAGGGCAGTAAGTAACGGAGTGACCGATCACCCACTGAGCCGGACTGAGCGAGCGTGTTTTCCAAACAAAACAGAGCAACGGGGTCTGAAAACAGAACATCGGAAAATCCTGCCTTCATTCAACACACATTAACTGAATCCCTTTCCTAGGTTCTGGGGATTAAGGCCCTGGTCTCACGGGATCTACATATTCACAGAGGGAGGCAGACAGCAGACAAACAGAACAAGAACATCAGGCAGGAATTAGGACTTGGCAGGGCTGAGAGCCCGGCCAGGGACCGGTGGCCACTTACTCCTTTGTTTGGCGGCGCCAGGTCCGCGTGCTATGTGTGGGATCTTTAACCGCACATGCGGGACCGCCCTGACCAGGGTGGAACCCAGGCCCTTGCTTCGGTGGTGCAGAGTCTTAGCCACTGGGCCACCTAGGAGGTCCCTGGCATCTACTTAGGTGAGGACGTCCGAGACGCCTAAGAAGGTGATGTTTAAAGTGAGAGCGGGAAGACGAGAAGGCAGAGGAAACAGTTGATGCCCGGGCCCCCTAGGACCTGGCGGGACCTGCCCAAGGAACCCTGGGAAGCCCCGGCCACTCTGGGTCAGGCTAAAGATTCGGGTTTCAACTGCGATGGGAAGCTGTGGGGGTGTTAAGTGGAAAGAATGTGGTGGGCTTACTGTTTTCTTGGAATAAACTTTTGCCTAGGGGTGAAGTTTAGAATAATGTTAACTTTCTAAAAGAATGGGGGATCCTCCCAAATTCAACACTTCCTTTAACAGCATCTTACGTCACGTTTGGTGCGTTTGTCATGGAGATTGAGCCCACCCTCCACAGGCTCACTCGGTCACTCGGTCCACGCTGTATGCAGACGCCCTTAGTTTTTACCTAATGTCCTTTTTTCTGTTCCCAGATCCCGTCCAGGGACCACAACGTGACGTTTAGTTGTCACATCTCAGACTCTTGTAACATTTTTTCAGTCTTTCCTGTTTCCTTGCTGCTGTTTGTTTTAATGATTGTGTTTCCTTGCTCCTCTGTTTCTGGCTGTGCCGGGCCTTCCCTGCTGCGCGGGGCGTTCCTGGGCTGTCGGGGCGGGCCTGCTCCCCAGTTGCCCTGTGCGGGCTTCTCTGCAGGGCTCCTCTTGCCGTGGAGCACGCCTGATGGGCTTCATTTCAGCTGATCAGGCCTTAGCTGTGGCGGGCGGGGTCTTCACCGCGTCCGCAGGGTCTCCCGTCATGGTGCATCGGCTTCTCTCCACTGAGCACTCGGGCTCAGTGGGTGCAACCCGCAGGCTTAGTTGCCTAGTGACATGTAGGACCTTGTTTCTCTGGCCAGGCATCGAACCTGTGCCCCTCTCCTTGAAGGCTGATTCATAACCACTGGACCACCAGGGAGGTCCCAGGCTTTCCTTGTTTTTGACAACCTTGACAGTGTGAGACTGCTGGTGAAATATCTTGGAAAATGCTCCTCACTTGCGGTTTTCTGACGTTTCTCATGCAACACAAACATGGCTGAAAGCAGGCCTGGGTGAGAGCCATCCAGTGGGGCGGCATTATTTATTTATTTATTTCAGAGTCAGTTCAGTTCAGTCGTTTAGTCGTGTCTGACCCTTTCTGACCCTCTGGACTACAGCACTCCAGGCTTCCCTGTCTATCACCAACTCCCAGAGTTCACTCAAACTCATGTCCGTCGAGTCGGTGATGCCATTGAACCATCTCACCCTCTGTCGTCCCCTTCTCTTCCTGCCTTCAGTCTTTCCCAGCATCAGGGTCTTTTCCAGTGAGTCAGTTCTTTGCATCAGGTGGCCAAAGTACTAGAGTTTCAGCTTCAGCATCAGTCCTTCCAATGAATATTCAGGGTTGATTTCCTTTAGGATGGACTGGTTGGATCTCCTTGCAGTCCAAGGGACTCTCAAGAGTCTTCTCCAACACCACAGTTCAAAAGCATCAATTCTTCAGCACTCAGCTTTCTTTATGGTCCAACTCTCATATCTATACGTGACCACTGGAAAAACCATAGCTTTGACTAGATGGATCTTTGTTAGCAAAGTAGTGTCTCTGCTTTTTAATATGTGAAGTGATGGGACTGGCTGGATGCCATGATATTAGTTTTCTGGTCCCATCACTTCATGGCAAATAGATGGGGAAACAGTGGAACCAGTGGCTGACTTTATTTTTCTGGGCTCCAAAATCACTGCAGATGGTGATTGCAGCCATGAAGTTATAAGATGCTTACTCCTTGGAAGGAAAGTTATGACCAACCTAGATAGCATATTAAAAAGCAGAGACATTACTTTGCCAACAAAGGTCCGTCTGGTCAAGGCTATGGTTTTTCCAGTGGTCATGTATGGATGTGAGAGTTGAACTATAAAGAAAGCTGAGTGCCGAAGAATTGATGCTTTTGAACTGTGGTGTTGGAGAAGACTCTTGAGAGTCCCTTGGACTGCAAGGAGATCCAACTAGTCCATCCTAAAGGAGATAAGTCTTGGGTGTTCATTGGAAGGACTGATGCTGACGCTGAAACTCCAGTACTTTGGCCACCTCATGTGAAGAGTTGACTCACAGGAAAAGACCCTGATACTGGGAGAGATTCAAGGCAGGAGGAGAAGGGAATGACAGAGGGTGAGATGATTGGATGGCATCACTGACTCGATGGACAGGGGTTTGGGTGAACTCCTGAAGTTGGTGATGGGCAGGGAGGCCTGGCGTGCTGTGGTTCATGGGGTCACAAAGAGTCAGACACGACTGAGCGACTGAACTGAACTGAACTGAACTGAACAGGTGAGGGAATGGGGACTCTGGTGAAGGGCTGATGTAGTGAGTGGGCAGGTGTGTGGTGAGGGCTGGGGTGTCAGAGGGGATGGCGGAGAGAAGTGGGAACATTTGGAATGGCTCTGAAGTGTGATAGAAACTTCTAGTGGATTAATATGAGGTGTGAGGGTACAGAAGAATCCAGGATAATTCCTTGAATTTGGCCTCAGCAATCAAGCGGACATGGCAGCTCCTGAGATAGGAGGGAAGCCTGTCTGCCCTGCTGCTGTCCCTGAGGGCGGGGTCCGAGACCAGGCTGCAGCTCTCAGAGGGTTTGAGGGGGTGGGAAGAGTCACAGAAGGCAGACATGACCAGATGGGATAAGGGTGGATGGATGAGTGGGTGGAAGGGTGGATGGATGAGTGGGTGGATGGATGGGTGGGTGGGTGGGTGGATGGGTGGGTGTGTGGATGAGTGGGTGGCTGGATGGGTGGGTGGGTGAGTGGATAGATGGATGGGTGGGTAGATGGATGGATGGGTGGGTGGGTGTATGGATGGATGGATGGATGGGTGAATGGATGGATGGATGGGTGGGTAAGTGGATGGATGGATGGGTGGGTAAGTGGATGGATGGATGGGTGGGCGGGTGGGTGGGAGAATGGATGGGTGAGTGGGTGGATGGGTGAGTGGATGGATGGATGGGTGGGTGAGTGGATGGATGGATGGGTGTGTGCGTGGGTGAGTGGATGGATGGGTGGGTGTATAGATGGATGGGTGGGTGAGTGGATGGATGGATGGGTGGGTGGGTGGATGGGTGGATCAGGGGAGAGAGGAGAGAAAGAGAGAGATAGAGGGTGATTGAGAAGGAGGCAGATGCAGGTGAGTGAATTTACTGCCTGAGACTTAATGTCACTGGACTCTAAGCCCCACGAGGATGGAAGCCACTCCTGACCCATCTATGTCTTATGCATACGTAAGTGCTATTCACGAGTTTATGGAGTGACTGTGAACTGGTCCCTGGTTGAATCCAAAGGCCACAGGGTCTGTGCTCAGCCTGTGCGCTGCTCCCCTGGCTAGGGAAGGCCAGACACTGGGCTCCAACTTCCCTCCAGGGTTGAAATCTTTGGGGCGGCGGGGGGAGGCACCTCCCAAAGCCCACGCCTGACCATCAGCCCTTCCACACACTAATTCCTTGTGAGTTTAGCGGAGCTTGTCTCTCCAGGTGGAGGACTAAGGGGAAGGAAAGCAGCAGAGGTGGTTTTACTGGCTCTTCCTCCACCCTTGTCCCCAGGACATGCTTCCAGGGAGGATCGCAGGGTCCCGGCCCCCCGCACTCATCTCGTCCACCGCCCTCCTGTCTCAGGATAACGCTGCGCAGACGGAGCGCGCCGCTGGGTCAGCGCAGTGTGACCAGCCCCGCCTCCACAGGGCAGGGCCTGGGCGCTTTGCCGGGGACAGTCCCGCTGAGCCCCGCTGGGTGCGTGACTGGAATCTGTTTGCCCAGTGGCCGCCCTGCATGCACCCCCCTCGCCCTGGCTGCGGGCCACCACCAGGCCGCCCACACGCAGCGCACTCGGTTACACATCTGCCCCGGTCGCTGAGAGGCCAAGGCCACACCCCAGCCCCCAGGGAGCCCGGGCGCCCGTGACACAGGGGACCTGGTCCTAGGTCACCGGGAGAGGTGGCGCAGCCCTGGTTGCCATGGATACAGAATCCCCAATGGCCTCTCTTCCCCTTTCCAGGACTCACTGCTTGAGGCTTTGTCCAGCCACTCGGGGCCTGTCCACACTTGCCAGGTGCACCTGAGTCTGGGCCCAGTGCCAGCCCCAGCCCTCCTGACCTGGACCCCCTGGGCTGGGGAAGCGTTTCGGCAGCGGTGATCACAGTCGCTGGGCCGGGTCCCCCGCCGTGTTGCCTCTGAGCGGACAGCTGCTGACTCCCTGCGCCGCTTCTGCAGGTCTTGTCAGGCTGCCTGCAGGGCCCCGTGCACGCGGGCACCCACCGGCTTTAGCCACGGCTTCCTCTGCTCACTCGCGGCCCCCTCTCCCTCCTGGGGCTCTCGGCTCCCAGACAAGTCCTGGCTTCAACCTCACCGCTCCAGAGAGGCCTTGGCCAGCACTCCCCAGTCTGTGCTGCCGTCTGCTCCACAGGGCACTCGTCACCCTCAAACCACCCGGTGCTTCTATTTATTACACGACTCTTTCTGCCTCAACCACAAGGCACCAAAGAGCACAGATGCTTTCCATGTGTCCCACATGTCCTATGAGAGTCGCTCAATAGAAACACTTTTGAGACACAGGTGATGCTGACAGTGTACATGCCTTCCCCACACGGACAGCAAACTCAAGCCCTGATGGGTTCTGCAAAACATTTGTAATGGTAACAGATGGCTGAAATTATTACTCGATATTTGAATAAATACTACATCAGGAATACGACAAAATATAATAGGAAATAAAAAGGAATGAAGTATGTAGAAGTTGGATGAACCTTGGAAAGATGATGCTGAACATGAGAAGCCAGTCGCGAAGGCCACATTGAAGGAAATGTCCAGAACAGGCAAATTCACGCTGACAGAGGGCAGATGGGTGGTCCTGGGGGCTGGGGGCGGGGAGTGGGGTGTGACTGCTGGTGGCGCCAGACTTCTTTTGGGATAAAATGTCCTGAAACTAGATGGTGGGAACGGCTGCACAACTGTGCTAGATTACATAAAACACACTGCTTTGTCGAGTTTAAAAGGCTGCATTTAATGCTATGGGATTCAATCCCATTAAAACTGTTACTTTTACAAAGTACTAGGTGGTTCCTCCATGTTTCAGACTGTGCCCAGAGAGTAAAGAGACGTGAGCAGTCATCTCAAAGCTAGCCCCCTGGCGAGGGTCCCCCGCATGCTGCTCGGTGCCCATGTGGGGCTAGAACATCTGGAGATGTGACTCGGTCCCTCAGGCACCCAGCTCACGTCGGAGGGTCTGGTGGGAAGCTTTCTCTGCTCAGGGTCAGCTCAGGACAGAACTGTGATGAGGGGTGGGGAAGCTCTGGGCTTGAGGAGACAGTCCCCGCCCACCCCTCACCCCACCCCACCCCCGCATCAGGCGACTCTGACATAGCAAAGAACCAGCGGATAAATCCTGCATAAACAGCACCGCGTCACAGACTCTCTGCTGCAACCGGCTTGTTCTGAGTTTTCCTCCCAACCCTGCATCTCCGACAGCTCGGGCGCTCCACCCAGCTCAGGTACCACCTGCGCGACAGTCCCCTTGAGGAGGCCACGTGATTCACCCAACAGTCCCCCAAGGAGACCACCTCCTCCAGGGAGCCTCGGGGGCTGCCCGCGCCACCCCTCCAAGCTCCGGGGGGAGCACCCAGTGCCCGGGGGCCTCCTGATGGCGGGGCCTGCGGGTCGCTGCTTTGGCTTCCTCGCCAGAACCCCAGCAGAACTTGTATGCCTGCAGTAAACACTAAATGAGTGATCAAACGCACCGAGGCAGTGACTGCAGGTCACCCGGGACCTGGTCAGCTCTCCCAGCTGTCTCTGACGCTGTGAGAAACAAACCACCTTGCCTCAACACTTGGGTAATTTTCATATTTATAAAGCATTTTCCTGCACACGCCTATTTCTGGCTGCTTTTTAAAAACATCTCCTGAACGTCAGTGAGCAGGAAGGCACACCCTTCGCGAGGCCCAAGCTGCGTTCAGAGAAGCAGGCCTTCCCCGCCGTCCCCTGGCTCCCCGGGTGAGGCCCCTGCCCACCCGCCCCCAACGGGGCTCCTCCAGAGCCGAAGCAGGGTCCTCTCCGCCAGAGGCCGTGGGCACCGGAGTATAGCAGCTGCGTCCCAGGGGCAGCCTGACCGCCCGGGCCCCACCCACCGTGCCCCAGGGGCTAAAGAGCTTTACAAGCCAGGTGGTACCGGTGCTTCAGCATCCCAGCCATCTGCCCGCGCCCAAGCACCCCCCCACCCCCGCCCCGCAGGCACAGGGGCGCAGGGAGCCTGCCCTCCCTGCGGTGAGCCAGCCCTCAGGACACTGCCCTGAACAGGGTCTCCAGGCTCACCCTCCTCCTGCAGCCTGGGATGTGGTCCAGAGACCAGTGCTTGCTGTGTTTAGTAACTTTCACAGCAGTTGACAAGTAACTTTCTATGCGGAGGGGAAGCAGAAAAAAAAAACCAACTTTCTAACTGCTGATAGAAGCACAGATAACTAATACAACAGAAGTGCTCACCCTGAAGTATGTCACAGGTCGTTTTTCTTCCTTCTCATTTTTCTAGTCTTTCATTTTTATTGTTTTGCAAAATCATTAGATTGGAAAATCTAATCAAAACAAAGCCAAGCAAAAGCAAACTGGTCCTTCAGCACAAATAGCTGAAGAGGCTATTCAACTCTCCGCCTGAGCGGGCTTGCCGATTCCCCCGAGGGGACTTGCTGACCGCGAGGGTCCTCAGCCCCTCAGAGGTGCAGCCAGGACAGGGGGACTCGAGCGTGGGGGCGAGGGGCAGTGGTTGCAGTTAGACGAGCTAACGTGCAAAGCACCCCCCCTCTTTCTGCCGGTTCCAGGACCATCTAGTCCCACAGACGGAGAGACCTAGGGGCAGACAGAGAAGGGGCCGTGGGGACGGGGGTCGGGCAGAGCCGGGGGCAGCAGGCGGCTGGGCAGAGAGCCCTGGGGGATGGCGGGGCGGCAGACAGGATCTGAGCACCAGCGGGCGCCCGTGCCCTGCAGCTGTCTGGGGGTCGTGGTCCAGGGAGACAGGTCAGGCAGAGAGCCGACCCCATGAGACCTCAGTCTCGGAGGCGGCTTCCCTCCTGAATGAGTCACGGCTCCTGAGGGCCTGACCCGCCCCCACAGCCAGACGCAACCCCCAGGGACGCCCAGAGTCTCCTTCCCGGACCAGGGTCTCCTCGCGGTTCCCCTGGAGCGGCCCCAAGCTCGCCCCGCCCCTCGCCTCACCCAGGGCTCCTGACCCCGCGGGGCCTTGCGTGGGGTGAGGGGCTCCCACCGCCCCCCCACGCTGTGTCTCCCTGACCTCGGTTCCCGGGGAAACGCCCACTGAGGAAGGGGGACAGGGACGCGCCCTCCTGACCCTCCGGCCCATGCCGCCCCCGGGAAGCATCTTGTCCTCTGGGCCTCAGAATCCCTGGCCCAGGGCGGCCTGGGAGGAGCGGAGGCCTGAGTCACCACCAGTCCCGCGCCCACGCCCCCAGATCTCTGCCCAACCTGTCCTGCAGGTGCTCCTGGCTCCCGGCCAGCGGGCCAGGCGCAGCACTTACGGGAAGGAAGGATGTAAACAGAGGGCAAGGGGCGGGTGGAGGACAAAGGCACCCTGGTCTCTGCTCGGCCCTCACTCAGCCCGGGGTGCTGGGGCCGGGACTGCCTTGCCAAGGGGCTCCTCACGAGCCTCGGGGGTCCCCATTGCCCCACGGATCCCCTTGCCCTCCCCTGGGGCTGTCCCCGGGGCAGGTGCTAAGTCACTGGCCAGAGGTGGCCCTGGGGCTGCTCAGCGAGAGGAGGGGCCGTCTGTTTCCGCACGGGACGAGGCAGAGGGCAGGAGATAGGGGGGCGTCTGAAAGGGCCTCAGCAGACTTGTAGGGAGAGAAAGTGGGGCCGCCTCCACCGCCTGGTGGGGCCGCTGCAGGTAAGATACCCAGGAAGCTCAAACACCGCCACGGTGGGCAACGGTGCTGGGACCTCCGCGGGCCTGCCTCCCCCTGCCCCTACCCCAGCGGGAGGGCAGACCCTGGGCCAGAGGAGTGCTCTCAGACCCCGTGCAGCAGATGCTGACAAGGGCAGGGTGGGGGTGGGTGGACTGGGGGCAGAGCAAACAGGCCGCTGGAGGCCTGGAGCGGGAGACAGCTGGGAGGCCAGCAAGCCTGGCACCCACAGCCCCAGGGGCTTCGAGGGTGCTCTGTATGAGGAGCTTTGGACGGTCTGAGCAGAGGAGAGTCCACAGCTGAACTCAGAGTTCCCTAGACCACTCAGGGTGTAGGTTAGGGATACATTATATACTCATGTGTGATGACGTATTCCTATCTATAGCACACTACATTAATATATCATCATTACATGTTAGTTATTAGTTTTAAATTTTCTCAAATTGTGGTATAATATACACAGCATGGGGCTTCCCCATGGCCTAACGGCAAAGACCCTGCCTGCGGTGCAGGATCTGCAAGAGATACGGGTTCGATCCCTGGGTCAGGACGGTCCCGTGAAGGAAGGTCCCCTGGAGGAAGGCATGGCAGCCCACTCCAGTATTCTTGCCTGGAGAATCCCACGGACACAGGGGCCTGGCGGGCTCCAATCCATGGGGTCAACCGGGTCGGACACGACTGAAGCGACTTAGCACACACACACATACATGCACAAAATTCACCGTTTTCACCACTTTTAGTGGCATTAAGTGCATTCACATTGTTGTCCCGCCACGGCCACCATCGTCTCCAGGACAGCTCCTCTCCTAAGCCGAAGCTCTGCCCCAATAGACACCGATGCCCACTCCCCTGCCCCGAGACCCCCGTCCCACTCTCTGTCCTGCTAACTGGCTCCTGCAGGGGCCTCACATGGAAGGAACTGTTGAGGTTCGTCCTGTGTCTGCTCACTCCCCTGAGCTAATTTCTTGTTCTCTGTCATGAGGGGGTATCGACACGGCCTTGACCCCCTTGGGGTCAACCTGGGAAGACCAGAGCAGGTGACAGACAAGCAGAAGATCTGAAAACAGTGAAATCCAGCTTGAAGGTCAGGCGGCAGGACGCTCAGTGGCAGGCGGGGGTGCGCTTGCCCTAGCCGAGGGGTCCTGAGCTTCCTTCCAGACCCGAAGGGACAGCAGGCGGTCACCACGACCTGGGCGACTGCTGTCCCGGGCCCAGCAGTCTGCAGCTGCGTGCAAAAGGCCCTTGGGTCCTGCTGCCCTCGGCTGGGGCGGGGGTCCTGGTGTGGAGTCCCTGTGATCGTCCTGCTGCCGCTCACCACACACCTGCCCACCACAGGGCAGGGGGCGGGGCCTGCCCAAGCGGGACAGTGGGACACGGCCCCTCTGCTCAGCTCCAAGGCTGCTGGCCATCTCAGTGCCAACCCAGGGGGACCCCCGTGAGCAACTGCCTTCAGCAGCCACTCCCCTCGACGGCTCCTGGATACGACGTCAGGACAGGGTGTCCCCGAGGAGCCTGGGAAGCCCAGAGGAGAGCCTAACCCAGCCTGGACAACAGCGGAGGCAGTCAGGGAAGGCTCCTTGGAGCAAAGATTGCCTCACCTTCTGCTCAATAACAAAAGCAAAAGAGGCTCAAGGACAGATGCAGCGTACCATGTGGCTGACAAGCTTGTGCACAAAGTCGCTTCAGTCGTGTCCAACCTTGAGCAACACTATGGACAGTGCCTGCCAGGGTCCTCTGTCCACAGGATTCTCCAGACCAGAATACTGGAGTGGAGTACCAGGCCCTCCTCCAGGGCGCCCTCCTGGTCCTGGGATCCCACCCACCTCTCTTAGCTCCCTGGCAGGCAGGTTCTTTACCACTAGTGCACCTGGAAGCCCCTCTGGTATGCTTGACATCAATTAGTCATCTTGCTAGTTCCATGAGGTAGAGACCTTTAGCGTCTTCACTTTCCAGCAAAGGAAGCTAAGGCTCAGGGAGGTTCAGACACTCACTTGAGACCACGCAGCCCTCAGGCAGCAGTGTTAGGGTCAGAGCCCAAACCTCCAGCATCCGTGACCCGGCACCCAGGCTGCCTCCTGAAGGCCAGGGCCTCCCGAGCTGTGGCAAGCACCTTGCTGCAGCGACTCACGGCCGATTACCAGGGAGACTGAGATGGGATGTGGACAAACGTTTCTAAGTTCCTGCTGCTGCTGCTGCTGCCAAGTCGCGTCAGTCATGTCCGACTCTGTGCGACCCCATAGACGGCAGCCCACCAGGCTCCTCTGTCCCTGGGATTCTCCAGGCAAGAACACTGGAGTGGGTTGCCATTTCCTTCTCCATTAAAGTATACAGCTCAGTGGTATTAAGTACCTTCACATCGTTGTACAGCCATCACCACCAGCATCTCTGGAACCAACACCCTGTCCCATCAACTCTCCCCCACCCCACCCCCCTGCCCCACCCTTCACCTCTGCCTCTGTGAGCTTGGCTCCTCAAGGGACCTCTTATGGGTGGAACCCTTCACATTTCCATTTTGTGTCTGGCTTGTTTCACTGATAACGTCAAGGGGAGCCTATTTACAGGGGAAAACACTAGGATAAGTCACAGCTGAGGACGTCTGCCTGTGCGGCCACGGTTCGGGGCTGACTAAAGTAGGAACTCGTCAGATGGGGACCGCAGAGGCCCTGCTCACCCCTTCTGCAGGACATGCCCAGAACTGGACCTGCTTTGCCAGAAAACATGCTGGAACAGGACGCAGAAGACGCAGGGAAGAGGGGCAAGGAGCCACCCAGGGAATTGGCCAGGGGCCACCCAGGGGCTCCCAGACCCCAGTGTGGGGCTGCGGCCCCTGCGAAGGCCCGGGGGCAGCTGACCGAGGATGCATCTGTGGGCGCCCCCTCCAAGGGCTCACTTTCTCCCCCCGGTCTGACAGGGCAGCACCCAAGCCTCGGCTCCAAGGGGCTTGGGCCCAACACGGCTGAGACACAGAAACCAGTGGCTGGTGGCCTGTATCAAAGGATCTGAGCCAGAGGAGGAGATAAGCTCAGGGCAGGATCTATGAGACGAAGACTGAGGCCGGGTGCCCCCGGGCTGGCCTGGGTGCAAACAGTGAAGGCATTTCCAGGAGGGGGGCCTCCCCACCAGGGAGGGGGTGGGCAGCATCCAGGCTCGCGGCCAGCATGGACTGAGTCCTGGCACTACCACCCAATGGACCAGAGACGTCTGGAGGTGATAGTTCGTACATATTCTATATAAAGATTCATAACCTAAGTATACATGTAATATATTATTAGTGTATATATGTGATGTATATACAATGTATGTGTATACACATATAATTCATTAAATGTATATGTATATACATCTTTAAGTCCAGAATCTTGTATTTTTCTAACATCTAATTTGCATTTGCTTTCCTAGAGGGGGACCTTTTACCAATTTTTACGGTCAGTACATCTATTTCTGAAGAAAAAATATTTACACAAGAGCCACAAGTGTCTTGAAAAGCAGTCCCCTTTTAAAATTCTCAACAATCACAAGGAATCTTCTTTTGAAAAAGGACATAATTCTAATGTGAATGGAGTCACCATGGGGAAAAAAGAGCTCCAGCCAAACTCTTTTCTGCGAAACATTGCCTGGGGGACAACATCTCCTAAGGAGAAGAATTCTATTTTTTCCCAGTTGAGAACTTTCTGTTTCAAGTTGCTCACGACATGCTGAAGTTGAAGCTCCAATACTTTGGCTATCTAATGTGAAGAGCCGACTCAGTGGAAAAAGACCCTGATGCTGGGAAAGATTGAAGGCAGGTTGGACAGCATTACCAACTCAGTGGACATGAGTTTGAGCAAACTCAGGAAGATGGTGAAGGACAGGGAAGCCTGGCGTGCTGCAGTCCATGGGGTCGCAAAGAGTCGGACACGCCTGAGCAACTGAACAGCACCAGCAATGCAGTTTCAATGTGTTACTTCAATTCCTGGGTCCGCTCTGGGGTGGGAAGCCTATTCTGTGTCAGACCTAAAGGGGACAGAGAGGGGTCTGAGGTCTTAGGTGGTAAAACATATTCTAAAATATACATCTTCCATCTTGGTTCGGCGGCAAACCTGTCCTTTTCAGACAAGGTGAGATGAGTGAACGTCCACCCGAGCTCACCTGAAATGCAGGCTGAGCTTTGCCATCATGAAGTTGCCGTGGCGGGCGTCCCTTCACAAACAGACCAGTGGGTGCGCTGCTCCTGAGCGCAGTGGCAGAGAATGAAGCAGAGGTCACCGCACGGCCGGCTCCAGCCCTGGGCACCCTGCATCCCCCGCCCTGCGGACGTGCCCCCAGCTGCCCCAGGAAGGCTCTGCTCTGGGCGGGCTGGCCAGGGTGCTGCTCTCGGGGTGAGGTCATCCTCTCCCTGGGAGGCGAGGCCCCGCGGCGAAACCAGCCGGGCCTGCACCTCGGGGCTGACGTCACCCACCCCGCAGGGCTGCTGCCCGCCAGGCCGCCAGTGGGCTCGAGCAAAGGGCACATTCCTGGCTGCGGCCCCCTCCCTCACCATCTGGTGGAAAGCCCCGGCCGGCCCTGGGACGCTGGTGCGGCAGGAAGGGCGGTGGTCCAGGGAGAGGGCGGCGCTGTGACTCTGCAGGCGTGGACACCCAGGACACGCTGTGTGGACAGCCCCAAACTAGGGGCCGCCACCTCGGCCCTGGCTCCCCCATACACACCCCGGGCCCCGCGGGGGCCCCAGCCCGTTTCCCGAATGAGGATGGCCCCTCCTCTCAGACTCTCAGCCCCTACCCTGTGCCGGCTGCTCTTGGGGAGAATCTATTTCATCTTCAGGACAGGCCCCGGTGATGGATAGGAGCGGGAGCCACACCTGTGAGATGGGAAGGCGGGGCAGGAAGCCAGGAGTGCCCACCCAGGACCCCCACCCAGTCCCAGGACCTCCAAACCAGCATGCCTGGTGCCCCCATCCCTCCTTGGGTCCCCCCACGCAGTGTCCCGTACCTTCCACCCTCTGACTTTTCACACCCTTTCCTCACAAACCCCAGGCCCTGTAGGTCCTCAGGGAGGAAGGTCTGTGATGAACTGACTCACACACTCATCCCGTCCAGCCCAGAACAAAAATGAAAATCGGTCAGGAGCAGAGAGGCCAACCTTTTACCGGCTGATCAGAGCTAAAGGTCAGAGGTCACCAACCGGGAATCAAAGGTGATAGCTAGTGGCCATTAATTTCTTTAGGAAGTTTGAGGTGGGAATTCACGTGGGGGACAGATCACGTCCTGCGCGTCTGCTGTGCGGCGGGCAGGGGGCGGAAGGGACGGGTGCTGCCCTCGTGGCGCTCAAGTCCTCACAGAGACAGACGTCAGCAACCAGAGCTGACTGCTCAGCTGGGTGACGGGTCCTCACGGAGCAGAGAGCGAGTGAGCAAGCTGGCGGGGCTGGGGAACCTGCTGCAATCTAACTAGGAGATCGGAGGAGGCTTGACTTCTAAATGGAGGCGCGGCTGACTGCCTGGCTATGGCGGGTCAGGCGGACTTCAGGAGGAGTAGCGTCCATTCAACGCCCAGGGCAGTGAGGAGGCTGGGGGCAGACCACAGAACAATCGGGGTGACCCAAGGTGGGGGGCCCCAGCTTTCCCTCCGAGGGAGAAGGAAGTGCAGAGGGTCTGGGGGACTGCCGGAACCACGGGGCGGGGGAGGAGCAGTTACTGGCGACAAGCGGGCAGGTCGAGCCACGGAGGTGGTGATGGGGTCAGATCCAGGATGGGATTTAGACAGCCCGCCCACAGGAAGGACCTGCTTCCGGATAGAACAGGAAGCGAGAAAAGGGAGGAATCAAGGCTTGAAGAACTGACCTGAAGGCAGACGTTGCCGTCTGGGGCAGGAAGAGGGTGCGGGGGGAGGCGAGGAGCCGTGAGGGAGCAGTGGGAGTCGGGGTTGCTGGTGGACAGGCTGTGGCGTGGCCGGACCCTCCGGGCTGGACCTCAGGGCCGGTCAGCGCTCCCATGCCGTCTTACCACCGAGAGCCGAGTGAGGTCACAGCGAGGGGCGTGAGGGCACGCCCGACTCTGCCTCTGCACTCAGCCGGGGAGGAGCTGAGGAGGGGCAGGCTCAGGGTGCCCGGGAGGCCAGGAGGGAGGGTCTCAAAGTGCCAGGTGAGGGCAGGCCTGTCTTGCTTTCCCAGAGCAGAGACAGCTGAGCCCTGAGACCAACCACGGCTCCTGCTGATGGGGGCCCAGGCGACCACGGGAACCCTAGGGAGTCCTGGAAGGGAATGGGGCGAGAGACAGCATGTGGGTTCTCTTAAAACTCTTTGCAACTCTGTGAACTGCAGCCCGCCGGGCCCCTCTGTCCATGGCATCCTCCAAGCAAGAATACTGGAGTGGGCAGCTGTTCCCTTCTCCAGGGGATCTTCCCCACCCTGGGATCAAACCTGGGTCTCATGCGTTGCAGGCAGATTCTTTACCAACTGAGCCACCAGGGAAGCCCTTCTCCAAAATGGAAGAAATTGAAGCAGTTAATAGAAGAGAAGTGTATGCCGTTGGGGTTAAGAAAGTGAAAGGGGCAACATCTAGGGTGAGGGAGGGGCTGCAGCACCAGGAGGGGAGAAGCCGGCGGCGATGGGTGAATGCTGGGGACTGGTGGGCACCGTGGTCTGAGGGCTGAGAGGTCTCCTCCGATTCTTCCTTTTCTCGGGCAAACAGGGAGCAAGGCCCTGGAGCGGGCGTGAGGAGGAGAGGGGTGAGGGCAGGGGCGACTGATCCTCTAAGAGCCCAGGACGGGGAGAGGCAGCCCCCAGGCCACCTGAGATTCACAATCGGGAATTGAAACCAGTTGCTCAATTTCAGTTCATTGACATTTTAGGCTTATAAGTCTTGCTTGGGGCCGGGCGGCTATCCTGTATATTATGGAGTCTTAGCATCCCTGGCCTCTGCCCCATTTCCAAGCCATGAGCACTTGGCTGATGAAACGTTATCTAAGCTCTCCTGCGTTTGAAGACACCCTCGCCTCCTGGTCCCGCTTTCTCCCTGCCTCTCAGATCACACCGTCTCCTCCTCTGCCTGTCCTTTGACCCTCTCCCCTCTGCTTTCTACACACTCTCCTTGAGCGACATCTACACCTTAGCTTTAACTGCGGCATGTGTGCTTGCTGACCCTAAAACCTGTCTCTTGGGCCCACACCTCCCTCCTGAACGTCCCAAGCCATCAGGCCCAACAAGGCGAGCAGTCCATCGGTGTCCTTTCTCCTAAGGAACAGCGTCCACCTCCCTACGCCTCACTCAGAACCTTTGGGTCTCCGGACTCCGTCCCCAGGCCCATCACCATGTCCCACTGTGCAGTGGACTCCCGAGGCTGCCCTGCCCTGGGCCCACCCGTCCTGGTCTCTGCACCATCACTGTGCCAGGTCCTCCCCCTCACTGGGCACTGCGGCCACCGGCGGGCTCTGACTCCATCTCCAGTTCAGCCAGTCCATCTCCCACTACTCCACCATCAGCAGCATGCATCCACTGTCGCAAGCCCCTCAACCCCCTCAGGAGCGACACTCACTCTCAGGGTCCACACCCCTCACAGCCTCCCTTCCCGCCACCCCTGCCTGGAGGCTGGGCCAGTCCTACTGTATGCAAGGGACCAATTCACGTGTCTTCACCTCTGCCTAGGATGCTCTTTCTACCTGGATGCCCCATCTGTGTGCCCAGGCGAGCTTCCCGTGCCTTCCCCAGCCCACCCACACCTGCTTCCCTGAGTTGCGCTCTGCTCCTGGCTTCGGTGTTACTCTGTAAGAACTCTCAGGTGCTTTCATCCCGCGAGTCATCAGGGGATGTGAACACCTGCTCACTCATGACCTCACAAGGGGACAGTCCCTGTTGTGGCTGCCTTTGTGTCATCAATGCCTGGCACACAGACTCTTCAATGAATCACCATTTTTAATAGGGACATAGTATTTCAGATTATAAATAGATGAGTCATGCTTTAGTTAACCTATCCCAAATATCAGATGTGCTGTTTGCTTCACTTTTTGGAGTCACTAACGTTTATTTTTCAAAATGAAGAAGACCCTTGTCTGTTTGTCCTCTTCTTTTTTCTTTCTTTTTGGCTGCACTGGGCAGCATGTGGGATCTTAGTTCCCCCAGCAGGGATCGAACTCATGTCCCCTTCAGTGGAACACAGAGTCTTAACTTCTGGACCACCAGGGAAGTCCCTTCTTTTTTATTTTAAGAACAGTATGACCTTTTTTGTAAAAGAAAATTCAGGCAATACAGAAAGGCTTGAAAACAAGGTAAATATCGTGCATGATCCCACCATCGAAAGACAGTCTTTCTCATCAGGCTGATGCGTCTTCTAGGCTGTTTTCCATGCACTCCATTATCTCCACATTTAAAAACCAAAACTGAGACACATTGGACATGCTGTTCTATAAGCAGCTTAAGTGTGTCTTGAACATTCCATGTCATTAGCTATTCATGTATCATTTTGAATGACTATATACACATGACAGTTTGTTTAATGAATCCCCTCTCTTTAGATGTTCTAAATGTTACCAAGGTGCTGTGGATCTTCCTGTAGATGGGTTTCTGTACCCATATCTGTTTATTTTCTTAAAATACAGTTCTTGACATACACCGTTGCCGAGGGGGAAGGGGTTGGGAGAAATACAGACTGAGAGTTGGAATTACTGTATGTCAGCTATCATGCATAGGCTGGATACGCAACGAGGTTCTGTGTAGCAGAAGGAACTGTATTCAATATCCTATTAAGAGACGATAAACCATAATGAAAAAGTATATTTTTAAAAGATTGTGTGTATATATATATATATGTGTGTATATATATATACACACACATACTTGTGAATGTATATACATGAAAAGAAGAAAGTGGAAGTGTTAGTCACGCAGCCATGTGCAACTCTTTGCAAACCCATGGACTGTCGCCCACCAGACTCCTCTCTCCTTAGAATTCTCCAGGCAAGAATAATGGAGTGGATTGTCATTCCCTTCTCCAGCAGATCCTCCCAACCCAGGGATCGAACCTGGGTCTCCTGCACTGCAGGCACATATATATATGTAGATATAAAACTGAATTGCTTTTTTTGTACAGCAGAAATTAACACAACATTGTAAAACAGCTATCAGTTCAGTTCAGTTCAGTTCAGTTCATTTCAGTCGCTCAGTCGTGTCCGACCCTTTGCCAGCCCATGAACCACAGCACGCCAGGCCTCCCTGCCCATCACCAACTCCCGGAGTTCACTCAAACTCATGTCCATCGAGTCGGTGATGCCATCCAGCCATCTCATCCTCTGTCATCCCCTCCTCCTCCTGCCCCCAATCCCTCCCAGCATCAGGGTCTTTTCCAGTGAGTCAACTCTTCGCATTAGGTGGCCAAAGTACTGGAGTTTCAGCTTCAGCATCAGCCCTTCCAATGAACACCTAGGACTGATCTCCTTTGGGATGGACTGGCTGGATCTCCTTGCAGTCCAAGGGACTCTCAAGAGTCTTCTCCAACACCACAGTTCAAAAGCATCAATTCTTCGGCACTCAGCTTTCTTTATAATCCAACTCTCACATCCATACATGACCACTGGAAAAACCATAGCCTTGATTAGACGGACCTTTGTTGGCAAAGTAATGTCTCTTC